CCCCCCCCCCCCCTGCCCCCACTCACCGGGATGCAACGTGGGTACAATATATATTCCCATACATCACCGCTGGGGACACCGCTGTCTGGTTAATAGAACACCGAAAACTCACCCTCCCCCTTTTAGCCTCCCCCGCAGGCGTTTTTAGGGGAGATCGGGAAGAAATACGATCTCCCCTAAAAACGCCTGCGGGGGAGGCTACCTCCCTCTACGCCCGTGGAAAATTGTCTCCGTTTTCTTTGAATGGTTCACCGCCTGGTTCACGTCCACTACCAGCATTTGCAGGCTGTTTTCTGGAGTTGAATGACCTATATTAGGTGTTACGTTTAACAAGTGTGTTCTTTTAGGTATCGAGGCATTTCTACGATGAAAGTCAGCTTATTGTAGCCTTTAAAAGGACAGTCTTTCCTTTCGTAAAACAGTACATCGAAGACAAGATGGCGGCTGAATTTTGTTAAGACCTATCATTTCGCGCACATTTTTTGAGCAGGGCCGGGTTGTTCAAAGCTGGGTTAAGATAACCCTGGGTTAGTGCGAAATTTGAACTCAGATATGAGAGCTTAAAAAGCAAATTTAGTTTAATTCTCTTTGCATACAATTTGATGATTGGATATTCTAAAAAGAATAGAGAAAATTATGCGACAAAGTGCTTTAGATAAAAAGATAAAGAAACCCGGATTAAAACTAAACCCATGGTTAGCGCTAACCGGCGTTCGAACAACTGGGCCCAGCAGGAAAAGGTCAGTATGATAATTTTTCGTTAAACAATTTTTCTATAGATATTTAATTCTTCTCAACAGTATAACGCTAAACTCGAACTTAATCGTTTCAGGAATACAGTGGTTAATTAAGTGTCCATTTTGTCGTGAAACTGCATTTTCACCCTTTCGCTGGCTTGTTTATCTTGAAATCTTGCCCTTCTCCCCACATTAAGTTAATGGTTAATGAATCTAATAATACTTCCGCGAATGAATGGTGCTTTGGTGAAGGCTGTGAAAAATCGCTTTCTGTCCTTTCTGTAGTAATTTTAGCTTTCTTCACCGGTACATCTTCGTTGAGAAATGCCATAAAAAATTGTTTGATTTAGTTATACAAAGGAGAAAAATCACAGCAAACTGTTTGAATTCTGATTTTTTCCACCTTATTTTGATGGTACACTGTTTGTTTTCATTTCATTAAACAAATAAATATAACATTTCGGCGTTTTAAAGAAAATCTAGGCTAACTCCCCGACCCCAAAAAATCTTGAAATGAAACGTTATATATACACTTTTTAAATAAATCCTGTCTTCTGTTGCAAAAGAATTGCATTTACTCCTAAATGATACCATTTTGTGGATACTACATTTGTTGATATGCTAATTTGTGAAAAATTTAAAGCCCCATTTAAACGGCAGAAACTTTTTGGCGCGACTTGGATGAAAGTGGTACGCGTACCAAAAAAATAGTACTGATTACTCATTGACACGTTCTTTTTTCTACCGATGTGAAATTATGATCTGGTACGGGTAAAAGGCTCAACATCTCAGCCAGCATACTAGATTCTTGCCTAGTGCGCATGCTGCTTCCTCTGTAAAAACATGGCGGACGAAAAGTTCTTAGAATTCCCATAGCTGCATGTAGTCTACGCACCATGAACAAGTGGGTGGTCATTGAACTACTGGTGTGGTTATTGAACTATTGTGTGGTTATTGAACACATTGAACTAACGAAAAAGTATTTACCACTTACATGTAGTTATCAGAGAAACGTTAGCTCGGCACGGCTAATCATTTACACTGCCCACTTTATCCGAGCTGGGCTAGATTTTCAGGATCGCGTACCAATTTTATCCGTGTTCGGACTACCTAATAACAGACAAATTCACCCATCCATTTGTGTCATGTTTGTTGTCGCATCCCAACTCATTTGGGTCCTTTAGCAGTACATGTACCATTTCTGTTTTGAGGAAACAGCATTATATGCACCCCTCTAACAAACTTCCTGTCTTATGTTTCAACAGGCTTTGAAGGTGAACAAATGTCATCAGTTAGATGTATAGAGTGATGGCAATTCTATGTTTTGAATGGATCAGTACTGTCATAAAATATAAATTAATAATAAGAAATCAGTTGTGGAACACGGGAGCTGTTACCCAGAGTCGCTTCAAAATAGTAGCTTAGGTAAAATCTCTGTATCTTTTAGAGTTAAAGAAAAATAAAAGCATTGCTCGTTTTTTTCGCGATGCATTTGTTTTGTCTGCAAGTGAGCTTATGAAGTGCTCAAGTGATTATGTCGTAGATAGTAATCACTTGAACTTGTTGCTGTCTCAGACTCAATCCATTCTTCATTTCCTGTATAATGTTTTTGACACATTTTTCCGGGAAAACTTTCAAAAAACTGTTTAAAAAAAATACCCATAGATTTTATGTTTTTGTGGCATCTTTAAACGCGTGTCTCCGCGGTCAGTTTAACATGAGACATCGCGACAATAAGGAAACCTCGCGTAGTAATTTTTTTTTTCGCTTTTCTTAAAGCAGCTGAACATTGCTACGATACATTTCTTCGTTGATAAGTAAAGCCATGAGTTTGGAAATCAAACCATAGAAATGCGTCGCTTTGCCAGTGAAAATCAAATTTATACAGGAACAGTTATTTTTGGCGCAGAGTCTAAAGTCTTTAAAAGGTCAAGAAAACCTACTGCTGAAACATCCACAACTGAAAACCCCCGTACAAGACGTCCGATTTTTGTCACAGAGAGTATTTTTTTGTAGGAAAGTAAGGTATTCAAAGCACCAATGAAATGGCTCTTAAAAGGACTGTAACTTAACGCGAG